TTTTTTTTTTTTTTTTTTTATTTATTAGTAGAGGCTGGGTCTACTTTTTTTTTTTTTAAGTTTATTTATTTATTTCTTCCATGAGTAAGAGAGAAAAACAGAGACAGACAGATAGGCAGCACCTGCAGCAAGTCTTGATGCTGCTAGCCACTCCTAGCTTCAGCTAGCCTTGGATCATGGGTATGTGTGCACTCAGTTGTCCCCTCATGTGAACCTGGAACCTTCCATGTGGGCCATCCTCACAGAGTGCTGAGTTTTACCACTGCACCACTGTCCCACCCTGTTGATTTTTTTTTTTGGGGGGGGGAGAGGTTTTCGCTATAGGGCACATGCACTTGCCAGACAGACAGAGAGAGACAGGGAGACAGAAAGTGAGAAATCATCCCCCCATGGGGGATGGCCACGCTGCAATCCCTTCTCCTCTGTTCTCCTCTCGGGATCTTGGGCACGCACGCACATGCGCCAGGCGTGAGTTTTAAGCCACCAGGTCCGGGACGCGAACCGCGGTCGACTACATGGGAGTCCAGTGACATAGCCGTTACGCTAACTGCTGGTCCCCCACCCTGTTGATTTTTAAAAAATCTTTTAAAAGTCTGAGAATATCAGGTTAAAAATAGAAAAACGGATTTATTTATTGAGAATTTTAAACTTAGAAACGTATGTACCTTAAACTTTAAGATTCTATTAGACTGATTTTATAGAATGTGAGGGCTAGAATTTACCTTAAAGTTTATCTAGAAGAGATGCTGACTTTTAGCAAACAAAATATTTCCCAGAAACTTAATTCTTTTAAGAATAGATGAAGCATTTAAATTATTATTATTTTTTACAATTTGAGTTTATTTTTGATGAGCACATATTTTTGAAATTTGGTATAAAGGGAGGACAGTTGCAATCATTTTGATAATCACAGAATTTTGGGGCCTTTTTTCATATGAGATGGTTAGATAGGCACAGAGTAGATAAGTTATTGGTCCAGGGTCACAGATTGGCAAGGCAAAGATGAAAGCTTAGGTCTTCTGCCTTTTTAACGTGTGCTCTTTCACTTCACACTGCCTCTATTATTAAATTACTTAATTTATCAGAGCAAAAAGCAAAACCTTAGGGATGCTATTAGCAATTTACTATTTCCAGTTCTTTTGGGAATCTGTTAATTGCCCTTTCATAAATGCTGCTCATTATGATTAAGACTTTGATTAAATGTGGAAGTCTATAATTTATATAACATTATAGACATATTTAAAATGAATTTAAAGCACCACAATAGCACAAATTGTGCATTCAAATCTTTCAACACTATTAAATACCCACTTTTAATCACTCAAGGATTTCTCAAGAACCTGCTTTGTGCTAGTACAACCTGATTCTCCCCTCAAGAAGCTTATCTTTAATTAAAGAGAACTCACGTTTGAATAAAATAAATGTCAGTGTATGAGTACAAATCCAGGAGGAGTGCATGTCATCTTCACAGAGGTCGAGGGTACTAAGGTCAGCTGAAGGACAAGTCCAATGTAGTGAGGTGGGAAAAGAAGGGAATTCCGATAGAGAGACAGTGATGGTAAGGATGGCTAAGATGCATGGACTGTCACTAACCCTGTTAGGCCCCATGCTAAGGACTATAGACAAATAATATTTAATTCTCAAAGCAATTCTGAGTTAAGTACTATTGCTCAACCATTTTATCTTAACCATTTGTTCAAATTTTTGGCATGGGCACATGCTCTCACCAGAGAGAAGAGAGACAGAGAGCAACAGAGGGAGGGAAGGTGAGAAATCAGTTCCCGGGGGTGAGGGGGATAACCATACCACCACAAAACTTTTTCTTTCATTCTTCTCTTGGGATTTTGGGCACACATGCACATGTTCTGGGAGTGAGTTTCAAGCTGCTGAGTCTGGGACTTGAACCGTGGTTAGTCATGTGGGAGTTTAGCCACCTGCTGGTCCCACTAAATCCTTTTCACAGAAGAAAAACCCTTTATGCTAGTAAGTGCTGAGTAAGGGGACAAGGACTCTAGCCAAGATGGACCGACTTCAGGTCCCATGCCACTCTCTACTCTCCTATCCTGCCCCTTCACTTATCTGTGTGAGCCAAGGCAAGAAACACAGTCAGGGGCTTAAGGGGTGGCAAAGGAAGCTTCTGGATCTAAGATCATGTGTTGGGAAGGTAATGAGATGAGTTTGGGAAGGTGAGATCAGGGATGGCCTGCACAGTCAGGGAAAGGACGTTAGACTATAGCTTAAGGTTTCATCACTTGTATATGATCTTATTCAGGTTCCAGTGGTCATCTAGTAAAACAGGTTAGCCTTACAAACAGCCACAGAAAGAAATTAATTGAATAATATTCATTATTGATTACTGATATGGTAATACACATCATTTATTTACGAGGTAGAAATAGTACTTCTTTTTCATTTGTCAAAGAAAGCATTTACTGAAGATCTGCTGTGCAGGGGCACCACGTTATTCTGTCTGGCACCCCCACATCCACCATGAAGCCTGCTATTTGGAGATTCCCAGCACATGTTCAATGAATGAATACGACTTCCTACTCCTCTCATTTCCTGCCTCCCTTGTCACCCCTCTTTGCACTTCCTTCCTCTCTATTGATTTCTCTGAACATATATCTACTGAATGTCTACTACTCTTCCATGAATAAAACAAAGTCTCTGCTCCCAGAGTGGAATAAGGGGAAGAGACCAAAAATAAATAAGGCAATTAAATAAGCAGTGTAATTCCAGCTAGTGATAAATGTTATAAAGAAAGCAGGGCTGGATTGTAGGATTGATTGTGCCATGGCTGGAGGAGAGGTGGTTGGAGAAGGCTTCTCTTGGCAGGGGATGCATGAGGGCTAAACACAGAGGACAAGGTGGACACACAAATATTAGGAAGAAAGTCCTCTAGGAAGACAGTAGATACCCTCACAAAGGACAAATTTGGTTCACTTAAAAGACATGCCAGCCAGTGGCATGGTTAAGGCAGCGGGATCTCACATGGCTCACTTTGTAGTTCAAGTCCCAGACACAGTGGCTCATAAAACATGATGAACAGAGACAGAGAAACAAGGAAAGAAAGAGAGAAAGAACCCTACCGTGGGATGGTCACTCTGTATTCCCTTCTCCTGCATGTCCCCTCCTGTTGGGATCTTGGGCACACATCCACACAGCCCTGCAGTCAGCCTTGCGGGATCCAGCACGTCAACCACCAGGCCACAGGTTGGCCCTGACACACTATTTTCCAACAGACAATTTATTATCTTTCTTTTCTCTCTCCCTCCCTTTCTTCCTCCCTTGGCTTAATGAAAATTATATCATTTATACTATTTTGGTTTTTAGTTTCCTTGTCCATAAAGTCACAATAGTCACAGTGAAAATAAAATTAGGGCAGTTTAATCATAAACCATACAAAATTTCCTTGTTTTAAAATAAGCAGTGTAATAATAATTTAGTTTATTATGCTTGGAAAAAAAATGTTAGTTTCCTAGGGATCAAATCCATGACCTATTGATACAGGGATTCCTAAATTTTCATTACATTTCTGGTTTATGTCCTCCTTGAATTGTCAAGATTTGGTTTGTTAGCCAAAGGATGACATTGTTTTCAAGGGAAAGGAAAGCTTTGAAAAACCAAACCATTACATGAAGGCTTTCTTCCAGGCCCTGCAGGAGCTCCCCAATCCCTTGCCTGATGCTGACTGTGTGAACACCGAGTTCTGGATTCATGTGTGCTCCAATGGCTCCTGCCATACTGCTTTCAATTACTTTGAGTTGGGCATCCAATTCCCTCAGTAACTGCTAGGTTTCTCCTGCCCATCTGTTACTGCGGAGGCATTTTGCCCTAGAAAGAAGGTAGCTGTTAGAGAATTCCAACTTAATGTAGCACGAGGAGGCCAGGCCAGCCACCACAATGCAATAATACAGTCACCTTCTCTAGTCAAGCTAAAGAGGAAAAGAGGAACCGACAGAAATCAGGCCAGAGAGTAGCCACAGTCACAAAGACTAGCAAAGTGTTACCCGGCTTGTGGAGAGCTGCCTTTGGGGTACTACCTCCTGGCACCAAAGAATCCCTAGGTGGTGGTCTGCCCTCTATTCGTCTATGTAGACCTTTTCACTGTCGCAGGTACCACTGTGTGTTCAGACCTCATTATGGAGAGTCAAACACTCGCAGTCAGATAGCTGATAACTTTAAAGGATTTTGAAATGATGTGGTTCTCTCAGAAAGTGTTACAGGCTCAGTAGGGTGGTGGCTTGGCTGACAGAGCAGGGCAATGCCCAAGGGGTTGTACATGTTTATTCCCTAAGGCTTCCCCGGTAGCTCTGTGAACCGAACAGAGGATGTCAATGGGGTGTGTTTCAGACTGGCTCTACTGAACCTGGTTGATCATCATTGGATGAACTATTTCTACTAGTCCAAAAGGAGAGGGATTCTAATAGTGGGGTACAAATTTGAGTCTTGGAGAACAACTTCCTGGGCTCGTGATTGGGGTGAATCCTTTACTCTCTGTGCTTCGCAGTGCTAGCACAATGGGTAGAGGTGTGCTTCAGAGATGAACCCAGAGAAGGTCAAACCCAGCCTTTTCATTTGCTCATGCCACTTTGTGGAAGCTACTTCTTTAACCTCAGCTGTAACCTCTTAAAAGAACGATTCAAATATTATCTTCCTCCCAGAATTGTTAAGAGAATGAAGTGAGATAAAACATAGTGTAAGACCTATCATGTAGTAAATACCCAATGTACAGTGTACAGAAATGAATTAACTACTGCTATGCAAGTAAAAGCGCTTTGTTAAGTCTGAGTGTAAATTGTTTTAATGATGAAGTTGAGTACTTGCGTTCAGTACTGTCTTAGTAACTTGCCAATGATCGAAAGGCATAGCAGGTCTGCTTGCCAGGTGGATGGCACAAATCTAGGCTTGGTGTCCTACAAGGTCATAACCAACATATAGCCTTAAAGTGATAAATTGAAATCAACAGAGATAAAAATAAAATGTTCTTTTTGTTTCAGAAAACGAAGTACATAAGAGCTGGCAAGAAGAGACATGGTTTGGGTGTGATCGATGTGCAAAATCCTAAACGCCTTTATTGATGATATAAGCTGATGCTGTCCTTGGGGTGATGACCAGTTCCTCCAAATCCTGAGGTTCTGTTCCATTGCATTCCACTCTAATTCTAAAACAGCTGGAATTGTGAACTTTCTCCCAGGAACCGAAGCTTAAGAGGGGCCTATTACTAGGTGGAGAGAAACTTGGCAACTCAGTTTGGAAATACAGTAGGTGAAGGAACTTGAAATATTTGAAGATGACAGCTAGGGCAGGGATTACACTCACTTTCTGCTAACATGGAAGGTGGAACTCTGACATATAAGTGGCTACTGAAGGGAGAAAGGATTTTATTTCATAACAGAAGAAACTCCTTAGTAATTTCTGCAGTCAAAGTGGCACGGACTTTGGCTGAATTTGGTGGATATAGTGAAGCCCTCCCTGCTGTGTTTGTGTAGAGGTTTGGTGGTTGTGGGAAGATTCATGATACCCTGGGTATCCTGTTAGCCCAGCTCACTGCTGAAGGCCCTATTCCATTTTGTGACTGTAATGCAGTGGACTACACAAATCATTTTTAATACAGACTTAATTTTTATAAAAACATATCCATGAATGAAGATGTAGTTGTAAAATGCAAACATAAATATAAACATTTCCTCCAATGAGGAAAATAAGGAACTAGCTTCAGATTTTACTTATTCCAAGGTGACCTATCTGAAATGTCTTCTTGATCATATTTTAAGAGGATTTAAGACCTAGAATGGGAGGGTTGTGTCTTATTCATATTTCCATCTCCAAAAAGTGTCTAATAATTAGAGGAGATCATATTGATTAAACATTTACCTGTGTTAAATAATATGTTAAGTTCATTGTATTTAGTAATTCATTTAACCATCAAAAGTGCATACTATTACATACACTATGGTTTTCTCATTGACTCATGAGTAAACTGGCACTCGGGAAGTTCATGTGACTTGCCCAGCATCACACATTGAGAAGTGCCAGATCTGGGATCTGAACCTAGAAAGTTGAGTTTCTCAGCCCACACTTTTATCATTACACTATATTACCTCTCCTAAGGGAAGGCATTCAGCATCTTTTCAGTTGATGAGGTGATGAATAGCTAGACAAATAGAAGGAATAAGGAGGGATCCGTGGCGTAATCTGAATGCAGGATGCTGAGTCACAAGGGCGAGAAGGGGCAGACCCTGCAGAATAGGCTGATGAGGGGTGCTGATCACGCCTTTGTCACATCTCTTCTTTGGGCTGATTCTGTGCTGAACATCTCAGGGTGAAATTGAATGATGCACGTTAGCACAGAGAAGCAAAAGCACTCGGCTCCTCCCCTTCCTTTGCAGAGGAGACGTGTCCTGTCAGAATGATTAGTTAGAAGCTAACAGTGAAGTCCCTCAATTAGCATGCCTTCAAAATGCCATCTGTAAGTGACTAAAGAAGTGACAGCCTGAAGGCAGAGCATAGGGCTAACTCTGCAAAGACCCAACAGAGCCTGAGGAGGCAGAGCCACTCAATCAGCGGCTTTCAGCAAGTTAAAGGGTCCACCCACGAAACCAAACAAACGCTCTGCCCCCTACCACCTAGACAGAGACTGAGAAATAATTTCTGACAGCAGCGTATGATTTAGTGGGTGCTTGCAGACACAGCCTATACTTAGTTTTATACCAGATTTAATAGAACAATTCAAAATTTCACAACTACTTGGCAGCTTGCAAAAATAAAAAAAGCAAAATTTCACCCATGGAATGGAAGATGAAGAAGATGCATCACCGGGTGCTGCTGAAGTAAAAGGACTATATTAGGGTTCTGTGATACCCTGTCAGGTCTATTCAGCCCAGACTCTTTTCAGCACCCACTGTCCAGTAGGTCAGGGCAAAGGTACCTGCTAACTCAAAGCCTTAGCAAAACAGTTTGGCCCAGTCACATCCCCAGGTGTCCATGTCAGCTGAGAGGCATGACAGGGTTTTTTCATGCCTCTGTGGTGAGGAAAGGGTTGGGGCTTGCATTACTTATGTTCTGCACACAAGAAATCTCTCTATGGAGTTTGGTGATCAATCGAAATACTTCGATTCTATCTGTACAGGGAGACACCCAGTTGAACTGGGTTTCCAGTTTCTTCTTCCATTGGTTCATTCATTCAGTAACTTCATCAAACATTTTTATGTGCTGATACTGTGTTAGAGCTTTACACACATTACCCAGTTTACTCGATGATTCAACGTGCTAGGCACACTTACTCCCGTCTTATGGGAATGGGCTGGAAAGGCTTCAGTAATGTGTGCATGATGGCTGAGATCCATTTGAACACTCTGCGTCAGGTGCAATTGTAAGATCCCAGTCTTCAGCCAAGTATCAAGGCCCTGCAGGACCCGGGCCTGCCCTCCCTGGTCTCCTTTCTCCATCTTGCCCTGTTTTGAACTCTGCTGTTGACGTCTGTCTGCCCTGCTGTGCAGTACCATCCCAGAGTAGCACTGTACGTTAGGAATAGACTCCCTGCCATGCACATTGCTTAAAGTATTCTAGTACCACATTAAGAAGGTAGACTAAGCAGGTAAAACTAATTTTGATAGCATATTCTATTTATTCCAGTATGTCACACATATTATTTCACCATATTATATCAAAATTATTAATGAGATCTTATTTCTTTTTTGGCACTAAAAAAAGGAGATTTGGTACATATTTCATACATATATATTTTGTTCCCTTAAAGGAAAAGGTACGTGCCTGCCCTTTGGCTTTCTTTCTTCCTGCAGGCTAAAATGTAGATGAGCCGTCTTGAATCATACGAAAGAGGGCACGTATGAAGGATCGCAGAACAGAAAGGGAGGGTCTGCGTTTTCTTCACCGCAAAGCCAATGGAAGTCCTAGGAGAACTGTGTCCCGAGAGAGAACAAAGTTTCTATCCTATTTTCACAACTGGTTTTACTTTGGATGGGTTTAGCCACCTTCATGTACTCCCATGATTCCTAGAACCTGATTCGCTACCCTCTTGGTGGAACTAACTCTTTCTTCTGGTCTCAGCTGAAGTTTTCCTTTAGCAGGGAGACCTGTTCTAACTCGCTGAAGACGAGGCATGTGATCCTCTGGAAAAGCTTCCCCTTTCCAAGAATTCATGTGTGAGATTTTTTAGTGTCAGTGCCCCCCCCCCCCCATGC